ATAAGACTAGAGTAGAACACATTGGTCAAATAAAAATTATTTTTTAAATGAAAAAAAAAAATCATCCCAAACTTAAAGTCACCCTTACTAGTTTGTAGGAGAAGACAGCCTGATTCAGACACTACAAAAAACAGTTGCTACCATCCTTTCCCGGAAGCCAGAAATCTCCATCCCATGTGTAGATGAGGTGGCCCACAGCTCATCATCTATTCCCTTTATCTTTCAGGGTCAGCCCCACCATTCTGACTTTAACTAAACAATTTTAGTTATTAATTGTTAGAGAAGTATCGATCACCTATGCAAAAATATTGTGGCAGGTGCTGTAGCAAACAAAGATAAACCAGACAGGCTCTGATGGAACAAAAATCACAAATGATTTCGAAAGGAGAACTTGAAAAGTCCACATGCAAATGCAGTGTTAGTTTGGACTTCTTTCCTTCTTCCCCGGTGTAGCGGGTAACTGGTATTGGGCAAGTGATTCCAGTAAACAGCTTGCCATTCACCAAATTCACCCACTCCACACTTCTCCTGACTTAGGATAACACCTTTCTCCTGCACAACAAAATTCCAAACTGTACATCCTTCAGAATTAATTGTACATTCTTTTAAAATACTTCCTCAGTTCCTATCTTACCTGAACAGAATTAATAACTCTCTCTGAATAACACTGCTTGTGCTCTGGAATCCCATGCACAAATGTTCTCTACTGGATAGTCCAGTTGTCTGTCCACATGCAACCATACTATTTTTGATACTTGTGGAAGGTAGTAACTTCTCTATCCCCAAGTGAATGAGTCCAAAGAAGTATGTAAGTATACTGCTATCTGATGTCCATGAGGAGACCCTAGTTTAGGATAGAAGACAAAACTATGGACTGCAGAGAGAAGAACTGGAAAGAACCTGGATTTTTCATGACTAAATGAACCAACCCTAAAGCCTACCTCTGTACCTTCCAGGTACAAAGTCAATAAATACCCTTATCTTTAAGCTAAGTTTTATTGTCTTACAAAAGGAAGTATCAACAACAATCCAAACCCCTTATCATTTTAAACACCAAAATTTGTTTTACAGGTCCACCTACTATGCAGAGTAAGGTTGGGGACAGACATCCACCCTACTGACTCTACAGCTAGAGGTTGCTAGTATTCACTGAAAATAGATAAAAATATTAACTGAATACTTTTTACGTCCACAGCATTTTGATGATGGCTGATAGTTGGTGGTGCTAAAATTTAAAAATCAAACCAACAGAGACAAACAAAAACTGTGTTTTTCACATTAAATAACTTAAAATGTAACTGGAGTTTCACTGATAAAAAAAATAGAAAAGCATAACTAACAAATAGGAATAGAAATTTGAGTGTCAGTTGCAGCAGACAGAGAATTTCAGAGAAGTTTGTTTTGGGTCAGTTGGTCAGGAATGTAAGTGGACTCTTGATTTAGAGAGGTGGGAAAGAACGGGGAAGATTGCAAATGAAGTAAAGGATGAGAATCTGTAACACAACTTAGGCTACAAAGTCAGGGCTTTCAGCTTTCAGCTTGTAAACGCCATTTCAACCTGTATTTCACATTTTTTACACTTCAATTTTGTAAAAACATTGAACAGAAACATCTGCTCTTCATCTCATCTCTGTAAAAACTTTTTGTCAATAAAGATTGGCTTCCACAAGGTGAAGACATTATCATTACTCAAAATGATCTGGAAGCAATGCTAAAGTCATGACAAAGTAAATTCTGTTTCAGTATACTTTTTTTTTCTTCTTCTTCTGGCTGTGGGAACACAGAGATCAATACTCTTCCATGAGAATTTTGCAGTGAAATTTTCATTTGTAACGGACAGTAGTGAAAGAGCCTTAAGCATGCCCTGTCACTTCCAGTTTAGGAGAAAATGCACTAGTACACTCTTACCCTTGGGTCATTTTTGACAACAGGCAATGCTATGCCAGCTCTTATTAAAGACTATTCATATCACTGCCCCAAAAATTTCCTTTAAAATTATCATCTTTTGTATCGATGTAACAGGATGTCAGCTTTAAAAGTGCCAATGAGAGACAGGACCTGTCACCATAGTTAATTCTCAGCACTGTTTTAACACCAGGACAGCCGACCCCAAAGGGTGGGTTGTTTGGTTAAGAATATTTATTTGGTGGTTATCTAGACAAACAAGAAAATTTATTCCTTTATATTCATTTTCAAAATAAAACAAGCAAAGTATTACCTGTAAGTATTAGATCTATAACAACCTAAATATGTTGAAAAGAAAATAAAACTGCCAAAACGATCAAAATATGTTTCTAAATTGTTGGCGGACTCTGGATAGCAAGATTTAAAGCACCATTGTATTTTAACCCAACCATATAAAATCTGAAACAAAAACAAAATGTAGGCTAAATGGCAGAACTTTAAAAAAGGAAAAGAAAAAAAGTCAAACTTCTCTATGAAATCCAAAGATTCTCTATTTATACATCTTACTGAAATATTTATTCCACAAGTAACACTCCCAGAGCAGCCATAATACATCTGTCTCCAGGTAAAGAAAACCAAGCTTTGATAAAATGATAAAATCTATTTTTTGATTCAGATAAACAAGAGAGATCTGGTAATGCCAAAACAAAACTAAAACACACAAATATAAAACAGCTTTACGAGAAAAGGAAATGTATCTTTCAAACGGAGCACCCAGATAAAAGTTTCAACTCTGCTTTCTACAAACTGTTGAATACACCACAAGACCACTTCCTCAAAAAAAGTATATATATGTATATATACGTATATATACACATCGACATACGCACATACAGACAGACAGACACACATATAAATAACTGTATGGTATTCAAAAGCACTCTAACTGCGCTATGAAAAGCCACCAGCTCTTTAAGCGCCTGCACATCAAATGCAGAGTACCATACACATCAGTGAGCATGATGACTCAAGGGCACACCCAACTTCCGGTATCCAGAGCATATTAATCACTCTGAAGACTACCCAAGGACAGCTTCAGGCTTTCCAAAGTAGGCTCAGGTGAGAAAGAGGCTGGAACAGGCTCAAGAGAGATGAGTATACAAGCATCTACAAACATAAAAATCGTCTCTCTGCCTGAACCTTGCCTGAGCACTGAACGCTAAAATACTATCCTATTTTCTTATTATTCGATTAATTGGGACTGTGATTTCATGAACTTAAGCAGATGATATGAGCTGACTCTGGAGACACGAGAGAAGTCTTATTTAATACAGAGTCATATCCAGTCTACAAAGATAAACTTTTTTTTTAAAAAAATGATCTATAGGCTCTCTCAAGACAAAAAGCATTACAAACGGCTAGTGGCATTATTTAATCATGATAATGTGAGATAAAGCTGTGGTGGAAAAGCAGGAGCCCAGCCTCAGGAGTCAAGAAACACAGGGTTAAATTCTGGTTCAGTCAATTATTAGATTTTTGTGGCTCGGGGCAATTATCATATAGTCTGAATTTCAATTTTCTTCTCTCTAAAGCATTAAAGGTTAAAGTATTAAAATCAAGTAAATCTTAAAATGAAATAATATATGTAAAAGACATCTGATGTCAAGCATTTAAAATAGATTAACTTGAATATGGATGTCTCTCATGTTCTCCTTCCAGCCTCTGAGCCTTGACACGTGCCCTGTTCTCTGCCTGGCACTTCCTGCGGGCATTTATTTCTCTTATCCCTGCCCCCACATCCACATCCCTCACCTGGACAACGGTTCTCAACCTTCAGATGCTATCTCAAAGAAAGCTCACTCACAAGGACCTTGTCTTGATGTCTCAGATAAATCTCAGTTCAGGTTAGACATTCTTGTTACAATCTCCCAAACTTGAGGAGATTTAGGTGGTTTATAATTATTTTCATTTGTGTCATTATTGATTGATGCCGGAGTCTATTCAACAGAGCTGTATTTCCTTTAAATTTTCACATAGGAAATAGATTACTCATTTTTATTTTTATTTTTTTTAAAGATCTTATTTATTTGAGAGAGAAAGAGAGTGAGCGAGTGAGAGAGAATGCACATGAGCCAGGGGAGGGGCAGAGAAGCAGACTCCCCGCCAAGCAGGGAGCCTGATGTGGGACTCGATCCCCGGACCCTGAGATCAGGACCTGAGCCAAAGGCAGACGCTTAACGGACTCAGCCACCCAGGTACCCAATTCCTCATTTTTAGGGCTTCAGTTCAACTGCCCCTCTCAAAGAGGTCTTCCAGATCACCCGAACAAAAATATTAATCACCATCACTTTGAGTATTTATGTTTCTTCATAACACATACCATCATTTGATACATTTTCAGTATTTTTCTATATAGTGTGCCTAATACACCTCAGTGTTGAGCTCTACATGGTCAGGGACTTTGTATTTTATTTACAATTTTATCTCCACAAACTGGAACAGTGTATTATTTGGTGTATATGTTTCATAGTATCAGGGACCCAGTAAATTTTGAATGAATTTAATACACATTGTGCACGTGTACTTGTCAAGCTAAGCTAAAGACCACTTAGCAAGCCTAACTTTCTAAGATCCTCTGGGGGCCAGAATTGGTGAACATCCACCACCACTGGGTTTTGATACTGTTAACCTTTACAGATCTCCATGGGGATAGAAACTCTGACCTTGACCTCATGGCCACAATGCTTTGAAGAACAAAAGTGGTATCTGTGGAGCTATTTTAAACAGGAAAAGCAAGTCTAAAATTAAAATGCAAAACTAGATGGTGGCAAAATGGAATAAAGTGTTCTACATGGTTAGCCCTATTACAGCTTTTTAAAATAGATTCCTTTCTATGGAAAACACTTGTTGAAACCTTGTTCGACAAATGTACAACAGTCTTATTTTACTTTAAGACATTAGCAGAACTTTTATATGATAAAATTTTTCGGTGACTTGCGATGAAGAGCAGCAGGTTTAAAAATCAATCAAAATATCTACAAGGCTGCTTTGTTCTAACCAAGCCAAGCAATTTCATGAAGTGAAAGCAACTTTAC